TTTTAATGAACATTTACAAGGATTTTGGGTTTTCATTCCTTCATTGCTGCACCATTCTCTCTACCCTCCTCCCCAGTTTGTTCTTCTTACCCGCCATCCAAATGTCTGTTTTAATTGTCCAATTGCCACAGTGCTTGTCAAAGTCAGTTCTGATTAATCTCCTTTGTCGGTGTGTCCTTTGCTAGAAATTTAATCTTATTCTCCTAAGACAAGGGCAACTGAGTACTGAATAGCAATCTGGCCTTTTGACTATAACAGTGGGAATTATCTTACTTTGCTAAGACACAGTTTTAAATGTAAGTCATTCTCCACAATATTGGCAATAATCCAGCCTCCTTTATCAGGCTCCTGGAAAAGACTGTTAGGCTTGATTTCACTACAGTCAACTCAACATTGTTGACTCAGAGTTCACTTGCCGCTGATCCTCTAGTAGGCTTTCAGAGGTGGTAAACTTCATGGGAGATTGTCCATCTTTCTCCCATAGAGCATCAAGTGGATATGAAACATCTACGTTTTGATTGGCAGTGCAACTCCTTACTTAAAAGGTCACCAGATCCACGGCTAAACAGCTAAAATAGATGAAAATCCTATAGAGCACGGTTCTACCCGGACATACATGGATCACAATGACTCAACGTTAACTCTACAGCAACTAGTTTAATGGTTAAGGGAAATGGGGAGTTATTACTACTTAAAGGCTGAGTTTCTCTTAAGTGTAATAAAAGAACGGAAATGCACAATGATGGTTGTACAACACAAAGCAACACTGAATCATCCATGTAAAATTACTGAAGTGACAAATACTTTTACCACATAAATTTCTTTTAAAAAGAACCAAAGTACTTAGCAAGGTTAGAAAAGAAATAAAAGGTTTACCCACTAAAATGTTCATCATAGCATTGTTTTTATACAATAAAACAACTTATTTTCCAAGAGACAATAGTTAAATAAATTATGCCTCATCTATATTAATCCACTTAAAACTTTTAAAATGCCATAAAGAACCCCTAAGGACCTAGAGAAATTTTAAGAGGAAAACCAGACACGTTTGGTATGATCAGATTTATCACATTATTTTTAAATGTATAAAGACATTTACAAAAAGAATCTGTGCATATATATGTAAATCTTCTGTATAAATAAATTTTAAAGTTTCTGTTTTCACCAAAAACTAAACAGTTGTGATTGCTGAGTGCAAAGATTTGGGTCATTTGTTTTTTCACTTGCATTTTATGTATCTGCAATCATTAAACATGTACTATTCGTGCACTCCAGAAAAAAAAAAAATTAAATCTCACATTGTTATTGAGTTGGTTTTACAGAATAAATCCATGTGACAAGGTATGAGTACTCCATAAGGTTTTCTAAGCTGTTATCTTTATAGCAACAGACTACAAGGTCATTTTCCTGAGTGAGCCACCAATCTTTGGGTTAGCAGCCACACAAACAGGCATTCTACTAATACTAATTACTACTTAAGACCAAACTACAAATTAAAAATATCTACCAAAGACGCAGCAAAATCCAAACAAATTAGACTACCAAAAATTCTCCAAGACTAGAACAATTTTTAAGAAATTACTATTTCAACACAGTCAGTAGGCAAGTTTATAAACTAAGAAATTACAGAAAACACAGAAAGCCTTAGCTACCTAGTCTAAATGAATTGAAAGTTATTTTTTTTGAGACTGAAAAATCCCAGTGTCTCTTAGGAAGAAATAAATCTGCAGAGAAGACACAAAAGAAATCGTATTTTCAAGAAAGAGAGAGAGACAGACAGAAAGAGAAAGAATCCAACTCTTCTGTACATTCATTAAAACAAAAAAAATTTAAAAATTATTACTTATTTTTTAAAAGAGTCACATCAACAAATTAACAATCACAAATTCAGCTTTATCTCATAAACTGCCTATGCAGGTATGTAGGTGGAGTTTGTACTACTAAATTGGAAATGGCCAGAATAGCCACTTACTCAAGCTTACAGGAATATTTTCAAACACCCTCAAAGAACATGATTGTATTCATAACATAGCCACATTTACCTGGATGTTAATAATAGTTCCAAACTTGCTGAAATGCTCGTTGAGCTTAGTAATGTTGTTCAATTCCTGAGGGATTTTCTTAACTTCTAATTTGGTGTTTGTATACTGATTCTTTCGCAAGAATCCTGTTTTATTCTGATTGTTATTCCCCTGCCTGGACAGAATAGAAATAAATTATAGTTAAAAGTCTCGACCTTGTATCCTACCAATCACAAAGCAATTCAGTTTATATTTATGACAAATAATATTTTATAAGACTTAAACATTCTTCAGAAGATATTAATAATTTTCACTTCATTCTTATGAAAATGCAACCTTTCACAGGTGTAGAAAAAGAAAGCTGAGTGACAAAAGGTTACCACTGGAGGCTCAAATGAGATGTAAAAATCAGATGTTTAAGGATTTATCATATTTATCAAGGAATCTTTTTTCTTTTTTTTCCAAGGAATCTAACTTTAAAGCAAGAATATTGTATCAACTTTTTTTATGTTACATTTCAACCAAAAAAGTATACAATCTTCCTTAAAAATATCTTAACATATTTTTCATAAAACTATACCCAGTAAAATCATTTCCCATTATTTTTCAGTGGCTCTTATTATATTCTTTCCTTCTTACTACTGCACATGGTTTATTTATTTTTATAAAAGCAGAACACCATAACTATATGGGGATTTTTTTTGTGGTATTAAGCTTTATTGTTTATTGGCTTCCTTAGCCATTGATTGACTTTGACACATAGATGGTAGAGGTCAGACTTGGCTGTCTTTATGCTGCCTACATTCTTTTTTATTTTATTTTAGTAATTTTAATGAACATTTACAGAGATTTTAGATTGCTATTCATTCATTATTGCACTTTTTTCTTTACCCCCCTCCCCCAGTGTGCTACTCTTTTAGAAAAGCAAAAGATAAACTCCCCGCCCTGAATGCACTAGCCTATGCAACCTTAATTCTGGATTCCTGTGATAACCATAAAACCCTATCATATATCGCTTTTAAACTCCTCTCCCTCATCTGTTTCAATGCAGTACACATAATTTATCCCATCTTTCTCAGTCTCCCCCTAACCCCAATATCAGTCCCATTTTCTAACAGTGGCACTATGCAGTATTTGTCTTTTTGTGACTGAGATATTTTACTCAGCATAATGTCCTCCAGGGTCACCCATTTGGAATAATATTGCATGAGTTCCTTGTTCTTTATGCAGCGTAGTATTCAATTGTGTGAATATACTACAGCTTCTCTATCCATTCGTTTGTTGATGGGCACTTAGGTTGTTTCCAACTCCTTGCTATTGTGAACAAAGCCATGGGTGTGCATATATCTGTTTGGATGGAGGTTATGGTCTCTTTAGGGTATATTCCCAGTAGTGGAATTGCTGGGTCAAATTGCTGGGCCAAACTTTTTTCTCAAAAAGTTGCAAAAGCACCACATCACTTTCCACAGTGGTTGTATCATTTCACATTTACACCAATAGTGAATTAGCGTTCCAGTTTCTCTACAACCTCACCAGCATTTGTTGTTTGCTGTTCTGTTAAATTTTGCTATTCTGACTGGGGTGAGATGATATCTCATAGTTGTTTTGCTATATGGGGATTTGAATCACCGGCATTTCAATTAGCAGCCCCATATATAATCCACTACACCACTGTGGTATTAAGGAGTTATTGTGCAAAATGGCTTTTCAAGCCACTGAATTTGACTTTGCCATGTGTATGGGCGAGAAATTATGTGAATAGGGTGTGTTAACCTATCCACAAGGGAACTGGCTAGTCTCACCACTAAATTGAGTAGAAGACTAGGCAGACTCGAGTCTTACTACCAGAAAAGCAGCACTATGCAGTATGCACCCAGTAACTCTTGCAGCAGCTAGGCTTACAGCCGCAGGGCTAGATTTACTACAGTGGCAGTGACTAAAGCAGAGGACCAGAGACCTGATGTGAGATGGCATGGATCCTGGAACTGCTCTACATCAAGGAACAAGAGCTAAGAACCTTTTTGCTCAAGTTTGTTGGAGCACTGAGAATTTCGTAGCAATGACCTAAAGCAGCTAGGTTCAAGTCTGAGATGCCTGTGAGCACATTTTGAAAGCTGTCCTGACTGAATGAATGTATTCTGCTACTAACCTGAATTATAGCTATTTCACGTCCCCCATATGGTTCAGTGTTGAGCTATCGCACTGACTTTTGGACCCAGTAAAGCAGTAAGATTGAGTAGAAAGAGGTGTGGGAGTTTGAAGAGCATGTCTGACCTCCAGGTAAATGGTTTTGTGCTATGGGTGCTGCTGATAGGGACAATCCCCCTTTGTGGAGATAGTAAAGTCCAGATACTGCTGTCATCATGTAGTCCCTGCTCCCAACCCCGTTTTCTTATTGTGTACTGCAGAAGCAGATCCAACTGACACAGAAGGAGATTCTCTTCCTTTTCCATCAAAGCATCTGGTGGATTTGACCTGCGTACCTTGAGGACTGCAGTGCAGCTTCTTAACACTAGGCCATCAGAACTCCCTAGTCCCTGCTCTTTTTACAGTCACCAAGTACTTTTTTTAATCCGTATACATCTTGAAAGAATATTAACACTGAAGGCAGCAGGTATTTTTCACTAGCTGAGCTAATCTGTTTACTTTTAAGAAGACTTCAGGGGTTATATTTGGTTAAAGGTTCAAGATTATCTCAGAAAAAAAATTTTTTTTAAAAAATAGATTATCTCAGGGCAATAGCTTCAAGTGGTTTTTCAGCATCCAGTGTTCTGGAAAGACTAGACTCCATGAACATTTTCAATTCTATTCTGCATTTTCCTCTTTCAGATCAAGATTCTTCTAAAGAATTTTTGACAAAATATTCAGTAATGGAGTCAAATACCATCTACTTCTGCTCTCATGGCAAAGGAGACAGTTATTCACAGAAGCAATTAGGCACACATTCTATACACTTCTCTTATTTCTGCTTTCTTTTTCCACTGCTGTTCCAGTCAAACAGAGACCAACTGCAGTGACTTGGATTACCACCTGCAAGCTTTTAACGCACTTTTCCTTCTTTTCTATTAATTTTCAATGTTTCAACAATTCCTAAAATTGAGTTAGACCTAGAAATAGGTAGACAAATTACAAGTATCTAGTATAAATACTGTTAGCTTTCCAACTTATAGAGCTTTCTTAGAAACCTAACTTTGAGATACATAGTTTGAAAAGCAATGATTAATGACAACTTTTCATTTTATAAGTTTACTAATGCAAAACAAAATGGCAATAAAACACTGATCAGATGTTATTAAATAAGAAATTAACTTACTTTCCCAGCCAAGGTTTTTTCGAAAGTGGTCCTTCCAAACCACTCACAGCTCTTTTTCTGCTATCTGGTTCAAGAACAACTCTGGTGATGTTGCTATTAATTGAGACGGGGACTGGTGGTTCAGTCTGGATAACAATGTTAGCAGCTGTTGGAAATAAAACTTCACATTACTGATGACGCCTTTTCTTTGGGGAGCTTCAAATGATTAAGATATTTCATACAAAATGAAAAGGCACTGCAAATAACAGGCAATTAAAACCATTTTTCTTTTCAGAAATACCTAGCACTACCTCTTTTTCCTGAAAGTTATGGGCAATCTCAAACATATTAACTGGTGGATGTAAAGAAATATTGATGGAGGAGAGGCAAACGGGTAAGAGTAAAGAGATAACAAATACATACTAAGTTGGATGAAAGGAAAGGCAATCCAATAAGGAGATGATCAGCACAGTATCTCTTTCTAAAGATATGGAAGGAACTTAGAGACACACAAGAGAAACAGTCAACAAATGAAAACATTATTACACACACAATCTTGCATTTAACAGTATTACTCTACATTACGGCTAGCTATCCACTGTGGATGGATAGCCATACAGGGAAGATGAACAGATATGAATAGGTGAAAGAAACTACACCTGTAACTGAACACAGGTTTGACAGATGGTATTTCTACATTTATCAAAATCAAAAAACTCTAAAACTCAGTCATTCAGAAGAGAAATCCCATCTTTCTCTCAAGGAGCCACTGGTGGATTCAAACTGCCAGAGAGGCCCAGTCTTAGAGTTAGGAACAAAACTCCCTGGAGATTATACTGCAAGAGGTCCCGACTAGACTGAAGTTCCCTAAAGGACTAATAAAACCACATCAACCTCAACCACCACAACCCTGACATCACAGCCAACTGTTATATAGAGCTCTCGGGAGACCATCCTGAGCAGAACAGATGAAAAATGTGGAATTAAACTCAGTAACAGCTTGTTGGTCTCATAGAGACTAGTGAAATCCCTAAGAGTATGGTTCTTAAACACTCTTGGAGCCTGGAACGGAACTTATGCCTATCACTTTTAACTTCTAGTCAAGCAATAAATATAATAGAGAAATAACAATAAAGAAACTCCCTCCTTAGGATAATCAGAAATTCAAGATCAAAAGGGCAGTATTTTCCTAGGAATTAAAGCTCAGAAGGCAGGAAGGAGCAGAACAGAAGGATTAATGGAAACAAGAATCACCAAGAGAAAATGCTACAATGTATTTACCATCATTAATGCCTAAAAAATGAATATAATTGTTTGAATGAAAAACTAATTTATTCTGTAAACTTAATTCCCCCCCTTCATTCAAAGGGAGGAAAGTTAGGATACACTATGGGGTGGTCTACAGGGAGATGCTTGGATAATCCAAAGATGGGGCCTCTCTTGAAATTCAAATCCACCATCCATTCCTTGAAGAAAAACGGCCTATTCCTCCCAAGCAATTTACAGTTTCTAAAAGCACACTGGAGATCAACTTTAAGTTGGTTCCCAGTCACAGCAATGAGGTTCGTTTGAATAATTCTAACCACAAACGATTAAAAGTAATGCCAATAAAAAGGGCCCCAAACCAAACCTAATCCATTGCTGTGGCAGATTCTATACACAATGACCCTATAAACCAGAGTAGAACTAATCCATATAGCTTCCAGTGCTGTAAATCTTTACAGAAGCACAATATTTAACACTTATGGCTGGTAAGTATGAACTGTCTACCTCTCAGAGATCAGTCAAGATCCAATTACTCCACCACCAGAGCTCCTAATAAAGGAGCATACTGATATTATATGCATTCTGATGTGATTCAATAAGCAGCTCACCACATTATACAAATGGGGTGTTGCATATTATGATTTTATGAAATTATGTTTTTCATATGTGATAACAATATTGTACTTCTGTAAGATTGTTTAATTCTTAGATGTAAATGAAAGTATTTATGAACAGAATTACTCTCAAGTTATTTTTTAATGTGTGTATGTGCACCCATTTATTATATGTATATATATTTATAGGCTATGTATATCGTTCACAGCTTCAGTTTGCTTGGCTGCACAGTCAACACTCTTGGCACCAGCAGTCAGGAAATCAAAAAGTGTATCGCGATGGGAAAGTCTGCTGTTAGGGACCTCTCTAAAGTACTCAAGAGCAACGGTGTCTCTCTGGAGACTAAGGTGCGCCTGATACAGGCCATGGTCTTTGCAATCGCTTGTTATGCGTCAGAGAATTGGACAATGACTAGGGAGGACAGAAGGAGAGTTGATGCCTTTGAGCTGTGGTGCTGGAGAAGAGTACTGAATGTACCATGGACTGCCAGGAAAACAAACAGACTCATCTTGGAGAGGATTAAACCAAGCAACTCCTTGGAGGCAAGGATTCTGAGCCTTCGTCTGACATATTTTGGACATGTTGCCAGGAGGGATGGATCCTTGGAGAGGGACATCATGCTTGGGAGGGTGGAGGGACAGCGCAGGAGGGGAAGACCCTCTATGAGATGGATTGATTCAGTGACTGGGGTAATCGGGATGGGTGTTATCGGAGGCAGTGCGGTTGGCGCAGGATAGAGCAAGGTTTCGGGCTGTTGTGCATAGGGTCGCTATGAGTCGCAAATGACTCAACGGCACATAACAACAACAACAACAATGTATATTTATACAAGAGTCCTTGTGTAATGCAAAGAGAGCTCTAGTGGCACAGTAGTTAAGTGTCTGAGATTAAAATGTGAGTTTATGCTTCCGTAAAAATTTACAGCCCAGGAAACCCTGGAGGGCAGTTCTATACTATGCCACAAAGTTACTGTGTCAAACCTATGGACAGTGAAATGTGTCAAAAAGCAGAAATCTAGTGAGCGTTGGTGGCTTAATGGCAAGAAGCTGCGCTGCAAAACCAAAGGCACCACCAGATGCTCACTGAAGAAGGAGGGGCAATCTCCTCCTGTGCCAGTCTATCTGATTCGATACACAACAAGAAAACAAACAAACAAAAAAACCAACAAACAAAAAATCACAAATCTGCTGAATAAGGCAGTCGGTGTGCTCACTTGAGCTGATAGCTGAGGTAATAAAAGAAAGAGCGCAGTAGAAGTGTTCAAGGATTCTCATCACTACCCGCAGCTCTTGATCCTCCAAAGAACCACTGACCCTGGAGCAGCCTGTGTGCTACTTTGGTAATTTTGAAGTTTGCTGCTGAACATGGCAGACCCAGATGTCCTCACCAAGGTTCCTGCAGCCTTAAAGAGGTTAGCCAAGAACTTGCCACTGTACTTTTTATAAGACAGAGGTAGAAGAGAATGAAACAGCAATGCCAAAAAAAGATGCACGCACACTTTTGGGCAAGGTTTAACGAACAAACTGAAACTATGTACATACTACTTTGGGAGACACAGGATGTTAATTTGGCTTATGAAATACTTGAACCAGAACCCATAAAAATCTCAGCCCTGAAACAGAAAAGAATATGCAGCAGCTACAGCTGGAGCTGCTGACCTGGCAGGTAGACACACCAGGAAGCATAGGCTACCACAGGTCCCTCTTATAAGGACTTACACACCCAGAAAGCTGTCATCAACATAGATGACCAAGATCTTCATCAAACCTTCCTGGAGAAGAAATCTGCCAAAAAGAGATTCATTTTGTTGAGAGGAAGCACTGTGCAAGGGATATACAGTTCTGAAGACATGAAGGAAGGTGGGATAGATAAAGCCTTGTTTCAGGACCACAGAGATGGCTGTGCAGGACTGAGTACTGAGGAAGTCATGCAAGCACTCTTCATTTATGAGAAGATGCCTTCTGCCACCACTGGTTCTGCAGGGGCAGCTGCTCCTGTCACCACCGCTAATAGAAGAGGCTTGGAGAAAGAAACCAGTGAGTCAGATGATGACTCTCTACTCCATCAGGCAGCTGTGGCTCTGCACCACTGGGAAGATAATGAATCTGAAAAAGTGACAGATAACCTTGTTGTTATGGTGGCTGGCCAACTATTATAAGGAAGTTAGCCAGTGACCAGAGCTGGTGGCCCAAACAACATGGGAGGAGAAGGAAGCATACGGAGCAATGAATGGGACAGCACATGTTTGAGGACTTCTTTGAGTGATGTTTTCTTGCCTTTTCCCCCATTCTCGAGTGCTCATTTCAAGAAGTAAATGCTTTACCTTGCAGAAATATGTTTAAGTGACTTTCTGCCCCTTTGGATGTAAAGTGACTTTTAATTACTCTTATGCAACATATAAGGAATATAAAGTTTGTTTTTCTATGTGAAATTTCCCGACGAGGTAGGCTGTTCTTCCCCTGCTGATTTCCTACAGTATTAGTATTTTTTTAATTTTATTTTTATTGTGCGTACCGTCAAATCGGATGTGCTTGGTACAGGAAGAGATTGTCTCTCCTTCCCCAGCAGAGCATCGAGTGGATTAGAACCACACATCTCTAGGATTGCAGTGCCAACATAAGAGCAAGAGCCTATGGTGATGAAGAAATAAGTTCAGGCTCCTTTGAAGGAACTGGCAAATAATAAGGCCCCAGGAGTAGATGGTATACCAAATGACAAATTTCAACTAAAAGATGCTGCCATAGATGTGCTCACCAAGCTATGCCAAGAAATCTGGAGGAAAATCACCTGACCAACAGACTGGAAGAGATCTATGTTTGTCCCCATTCCAAAGAAAGGTGACCCAACAGAGTGTGGGCGTTATCGAACAATATCACTGATTATCACACGCAAGCAAGATTCAGCTGAAGATTATACAAAAATGACTGAACAGCACATCAACAGAGAACTGCCAGAAGTCCAGGCTGGGTTTAGAAGAGATCATAGTACTAGGGATATTGTACCTAATGATAGATGGATCTTGGCTAAAAGCAGAGATTACCAGAGTAATGTCTATCTGTGCTTCATTGATTATGCAAATGCATTTGACTGTATGGATCACAACAAACTGTGGCTGACTCTGAGAAGAATGGGAATCCCAGAACACTTGATCATGCTAATGTGAAACTTATACTTGAACCAAGAGGCAGTAGTCAGAATAGAGCAAGGAAACACTGCATGGTTCAAAATTGGGAAGGGCGTAAGCCAGGGATGCATCCTATCTCCATACCTTTTCAACCTGTATGC